CCCCAAAACCCCAAAACCCCAAAACCCCTTTTAGCCTGGCTCGGCCTGAAATAAATTTGCATACAAATTTTGTAATTTAATTTATAAATGATGACTCGTGTATGAAGATCTGATTATTCTTCCTCCTCAAAATCCTCAGATCTTGAGCCAAGCCTGAACATTCTGCAGAAGGAGAAGAGGCTCGACCAGGATATAGGACGGATACTTCTGGAAAAGCATGAGATGCTTTACCAGTTACAGTTTCAGAAAGTATCTCTCAAGATCGACTTCAACCTAGAATCTGGTGACAAATATACCAAGGAGGTCAGGAAATTGGGAAAAATTGGACTGAAGAACTGATCTGAAGTAATATTGAATAATATCAAGCGAAAAAGATGTCCAATGGTTAAGGATATCCTATCCTTGGTTCCTAAGAAAAAACTACAGAAGTTTATATTTGACTGCCCAGGGCAATACTCCTTCAAACCTTTTACCTACTATCAGCAGAATCTCATCAAGATGGTGTCATTTGCAACTAAAGAGGTATCCTTAGTTGGAATGGAAATATCAAACTTTAATTTCAGAAATATAATTGTTTCAACTAATTCGGTGAAGGAACTGTGATTCCGTCAGTGCAGCATCAACACCACTGAGGTGTGCCTAACAAAACCTGATCCTTACCTCATTCAGACTCTAGCTTTTGTGGAATGAGGGAGTGTTAAATATAGCGATTGGAAGCAATTTCCTGAAAAATTATTTAGTATACTTCAAGCTATCTCAGAAACATCCCTAACAAGATCATTGCAGAAGATCGAGCTCCTAGACAATGGGATATCAGTGCAGGAAATCCAAGAATGCGGTACTAGTGGAGGAAAGAAGGAAGATAGGCTCTCCCTCCCTGGTGTCAAGTTTGAGCTCCTTGATGAAACACTGGATTCCTACATGGATTTTGAGAAATAAATCTATGTATTCTGTAACTGTCTTTAATAACTCTTATTAATTTTTTCAATAATATTCACGTAGCTTGGGGTTTTGGGGTTTTGGGGTTTTGGGGTTTTGGGG